GTTTTATTTTATTGAGAAACAAATAGCAATGAGATAGTTTTAAAACTGATTAATAAGATAATTTCAATAATTATACATTGTACATTGTTATTTTCTTAGTGGTTATCCATAGTTCAAGAAGCAGACAGGATATGCTGTCCAAACACTATTAGTACACCTCTTTCTTCTCAGTGAATTAAGTGAAAGTAGCTGTATATCTATCCTATCTGTATATACAGATAGAAAATAGTCCTTCCTTTGTATCCTCTTTTTTGTTTAGTTCTGTCAGAGGTGGGTATTCTATTGGCATCTAAATACTATAGGTGCTTGAATTCAGAAAAACAATCCAACACTGTGCAGCAGTCCATAATAGTAGTGGGTTATCCTCAGAAGTTGTTGACTTGAGCTTTTCACAGCTCAGTATATTAATATGGTTTTACTTTATATGCCTCGTTTTTATACTTTTCTGCTGGATGGTTAAGACCTAGATAAGGCAAGACCTACATAACAAGAAATGGAACTTTTGTATCTGATAAGATCAGCCAAGTCCCCTCAGGATTTGTCCTGTAGCCCTGTACCGTAGTTTGCAGATCCTTCGTCAGTGTCAGCCATGAGGATGAGTCATGGCCATTGCTTGACCAGTTTACTCTCTGTGAAAGTCTGAGAGAATATTTTAATTGTATATTTGTGTCATATAAGATACACTTTGTCAAATTTATGAATGCATCCAAAGTATGAGTGTCCTTCCAGAAGGGAACTCGTAGGCAAGTCAGGGATGTAGTATACAAATAATTTTGCCCATTCAACACACAAAGAAATAAAGATGCAATGAGGTGCAGCCCACTGACCAGGGTTACAGAACAAGAAAATGTCTGCACATCCATGTTGAAGACTACAGTGTCACAGGCCTTCCACACACAGTGATTCTTGAAGACCAGAGCACACTTGTGCAACAGAAGGAAGTCACTGGGCACAAGGGCTGTGTGCACCCCCACTCTGGGGAACCAGCCGGCTGTTATTGGCCATGTAGTGTCACCATCCAGGGCATAGCAGCCATCGGGCTCTGTGCCCTCACTGTGTGCTGAGTGCTTACGTCACTAATCCAGAGAGCAAGAGTTTCTCTCCTCAAGGACCTCCTGCAACTCCTGCTGGCTACACTGTGAGGGGCTGAGGCTTGTCAGCATTTTGCTTTTCATTCTTTTATAATGTTGGAGGCCTGGGAACTTAAAATTTTGTTTTCTTTGCAGTGCATGGATTGAACCCAGGGCCATGTCTATGTTAGGCCAGGGCTGTGTCTCTGAGCCACAACCCCAGCCTGAGACTCTGAGTATTAACGGGGCCCATAGCTTTCTATGTTAAAGGCAGCGCTGTAGCTGTGGGGCCTCGAGCAAAGGATGTCACTTTTGTGCTTCACTTTCTCAGCTAATGCATGAAACTGTGATCACTGTAGCACCCTGGCAGAGAGAAGAGGATTAACAGCGCTTAGAACGGGGCCTGGTACAGAGTGTGAACAACAATATTCACTTTGAACTACTGGTCTGCAGGGAAAATAGGAGGAAATGTTTTCTGATGCTGTTCACCTGACCAGAGCAGAAGGCTTCAGAGTCTGTGTTGTCACTAAGGAGCTCTTGTCAATCTCCTCCTCCTATTCTAGGGGAAGAGGAGAAGGGGCCTAGCTTTCCTTTTGTAGGATCAATCTGTACAAGGAGAGATTTCCAATTGGAGAGCTTCAAATCTAAGGAGGATGCACAGGAAGGTCTTTACAAATACACATAGTATTCAATTTGCCATGGGGCTCCAAACCCAGAAACCCCTTATAAGTTGAAACATAATGTCAAAGAAAATGCAACTGAGCACCTGGCCTGCTGAACATCAGAACTGAGCAACGCGGCCCACAGCAGAGACCTTGTGGTTCCAGGGGCACCGTAACCAGGCCTGGGCACCTGAGGCTCAAGGAACTAAGGTCTTGTCAGATCAGGAGAATTTCTTTCCCAGAAATGAGATGTTTGTATCTCTCTAAGGAATATCTTGGTTCTGCTAATTATAGAAAGGTTATAGGTGGAGAAGCACAGCTAACCCTTTACTTTACCATGCATGACCTACATGGGACTTTGAGTATGATCAGCCCGTGTGATGGTTTGTTCTGGAGGAAGCTGAGCCAAACCTTTGTGCAAAACAAGATGAAAATGGGACCTTAGGCCCGTGGAAAGCTTCTGGGACAGCAGGGAACGTTTTGCTAAGACATGTCTGAAGGAGCAATACCATAAACCTGGGTAAGACAAAGCGCCCCTGGGACCGCTGAACTATGATGGCCTCACTGATCTGTGCCTTCCTCCCCCCCCCCACTTCCCATTCCTGCCTTTTGTGAAGAAAAACTATAATAAATGCTGGAGAAATTGGCAACCGGAGCCTCAGTTCCAGACTGTGATCCCCTAATCCTGGAACTTTATCTTTTGTTTTCTTTTTATCTGCCGCACCTACTTACAAGGACTGGTTGCCTCACAGAAAACAGTAGTTTTATTTCTGATGCTTACAAAACTGAGCCCACCCCATCCCCTGGGCTCCTACGGGCCCCCTTCTAGGTCAAACTTCCCTGCTTGCAATTCCAGGGGTTGATTTCAACATGGCTGAGACATCGTCATTTTTGTGTATGAAAACCTCTACACCAGGATCCCAGGGACATTTTGCTTCCACTGTACAATAAATGCTGCATCCGGCTTTCACTGTACAAGAAATCCCTTTCCTCAGTCCTCTTCTGACTCTCTGCCTTGTAATTCTTAGTGGATTCAGAGAAAATCAGCAGCCAGATAGCGGCAATTAGAGAGATAGCAGGGGCTGGCACCTGCTGATAGCTGCCTCTCCCTGTTCCTAGGAACCAGCTAGTGAGTTAGGAGCCCGGGATCAAAGTGAGTATCAGGGGTCCACCTAGATAAAGAAACAGAAGAAAAGTGACTTTGAACAGCTACCACCAATCTCTGTCATTTCTTTTAATGAGGAAATAACCATAAAATAAATACAATGATCTTATCTTTAAGAAATAACCCAGTCTCCCTGTTCCTAGGAACCAGTTAATGATGACATTAGCAGGATTATCCAACTCTCCATATTCCTGGAATCCATTCTTCTGCCTGTGCCTGCTGATGGGAATTGGTCAGGGGAAGGGCAGAGGAGGCAGGATGGGCTAACCATGTAGCCTGATTGATGCTTTTGTCACTGTCCCTACTTTACCATCTAAATTGGTCCCGTCTGCTTTCTCCTCGAACTCAAGTCTCCTCCCTGCTTCCTGTACCTCCAACCAAAGTGTTCTCCTTCTGGTCAATTTCAAGTCCTCCAGCTGGAAAGGAATGACTTCAAACCTACCATGTGTATAAGCACAGATCTGGGGCTGAGTATGCTCACCCTCTGCTTTTCCTGGTTTCATCCAAGAAAGCTGAGCTATGCTTTGATTCCCTATTTGTGACTCACATGTGACAGCCCTTATGAGCCGTGGCTGAGAAGAAATGGTGACAGGCATCTGTAAGAGCTGCAAGAGGGCCTTTTCCAATAAGACAGCCTTCACACAGCAGGCAGACTCGGGCACTTCCTGGCCTTTCAAGGCTTAGGCAGGAAGAAATGTACAAGTCCAGCCCAGGCCACTTGGCAACTTAGCAAGACACTGTTCTAAAATGAAAACCACAGTGGGGTGGGATGTGGATTGGAGAAGAGGCTCTCTGGCTGTGAGAGGATGGTCTGTCCTGAGAGTGGCCTCTGTCCTCCATCACAGTCCAGCGAGGACAGAGAGAGAGAGAGAGAGAGAGAGAGAGAGAGAGAGGAGAGAGAGAGAGAGAGAGAGAGAGAGAGAGAGAGAGAGAGAGAGAGAGGCTTCCAGTTGAAAATGAAAAGATTTTTGAGAGTGTAAAGAGAAACATATTCCCACTTACTGACAATGATAACAACCATCCATAACAAAGGTGAGTGGCCTTAGACACACCCAAGAATGAAGCTGGAAAAGAATTAGAAATTTAAAATGTCCTTGGAAACAGCTGTTGGAAATAAGACAAGGAGCCAGCTCATAACTGTCATAGCTGTCAAAGGAATCCACAAAGGAATACAAAGCAATTCAACAACCAGGGAAGAAGGAAGTCTAAGTGCCACATTTGCAAGACAGCAATGTAAGGCCCTGCCTACATACATAAAGTGCCCCATCAAAGGAACCTAAATATGAAGACATCACAATCTTCTCTGATCTCAATTTTAACATGGCTCAGGCAACCAACATAGTGACAAGTATCCAATAAACCATGGATGACAATTGGGATTACTTCAATGAATCACAAAATTCAGAATCCAGTCAGAATATTTTGGAGTTTCATGAAACAAAGGGAACTCTTATGTCCTTCCAAATGTCTTGCAGGGGCTTCCCAATGATACAGGGGAAAAAATCTAACTCCCAACCTACAAGATGTCAGAAACACCTAGTTCACTCTCATGAAACTGAAGAATGAATTATGTGGAACAAAGATTAAGACAAGGGAAATTTTATTGAGAGCTCTGTGTTGAGAGATAGCAGGGGATTTGAGAGTGGGGTGCCTCAAGGCTACTGCTATAAGAATGTTCGATAGAGCAAAATCATCGGATGGCTGCATAGTCATCAAGTGAGTACAATGTGGGTCACAGTGTAATCATCAATAAGATGGCAGGTGGAGCCAAAAAGCTAATAATGATCAATAGGGAAGCAGGGCCTGTAGCAAGATTACAGGGAAAGAAAAGGGGCATGTCAGGAAAGGAGGACTGTATGCAAAATTTTCAACACCCAAATATGTTGAGAATCTGCATTCCACTTGTGTAATGGGCTTGATGACCACAAGATGGATCTACTTCCAAGTCCTTCCCACCACCATCAGCCCAGCCGTTATCTTTCCACACCCAGTCCCTTTGTTTTTGGCTTTTTCCCCCTTGAAGAGCTGCCAAATGTGTTGGTATATATTTCCTTGTTAAGTCCAGCTCTGAGCAGAGAGAGCTGCATTGGTGTGAAAGGCGGTGGAGGCCACACAGGTGGATTAGAGATGGATTGCTGCAAAATGTCACACCAGGTGAGTGTGGAGCTGACCAGGTATGAGCTGGCTGCACAGACCATCAGCATGGTCTCAGAGTGAAGGACTGGTGGAGGGATTGCAGGAAGGGGAGGCCAGGAGACCCCCAGGAGGACAGAAATGCCAGAGGAGCTCTGGTGATGCTGATCCTGCTCCATGACCTCTCAGCCCTGGGCCTGGAATGACCTACACATATTAAGGTTTATTCAGTCACAGTTTATAGAGGTTTCAGTCCATAATTGGTTGGCTTTAAGGCAGGGTGGCTTGAAAGGAGAGTATCACAGAGGAAAACAGTTCCTGGCCCCCATGAAATAGCAACAGCAACAGAGCACCTTAATAGCCCCAACGTGTGGGAATGGGGGGCTTTGCCACTCCAGTCCTGGGCTTAGTTGTCCATGTTCCTCTCTGCAGGGTATTTTGTCTGTTCTTCCACTGTCTGTTGTCCGTTGATCCCTTACAGGCATGCAGAGCAGTGGGCATCGCTGCTAACTGGTTCTTAAAGAGGGAATGCCTGGACTTGGCTCCCATTTTACAACTATGACCAAAACCCGACATGGTTCTCCTGCCTTCCCCGTTTATGTTATAGGCTGCAGCCAAATTTCACACTATCCACATTGACTGTTAAGATAGTTGGCAGGGTGGAGTCCCTGACTGCTAGGGCTGGCACCTCTGCAACTGCCTCCTTTGAGTCCTGAAATGCGGTTTGTGCTGTCAGCCCTTCATTCCCTTCTGGGTCATCTCTAATTGTGTTGGGAATTATTTCAGTCTTGGCCAACCAAAAAATACTCAGGAATTTGACAGACAAGCCAGTTCCCTAGCCCTTGTCCTCATCCACATCCCAGCCCAGGCCAGCACAGCTTCCTTCAGGCTGTGCCTGGTATAGATATCCTCAGACTTCAGTGTTTACCTCAAAAATATGCAACCTGGTGAGGTTCTGAGCAGGATACCATTCAGTCAGTCCACCCCAGAATACACTTAGACACTTGGGAAATGTAGACATCAGAAAGGCAGGAAGCCTTGGACAGCCCGAAGCTCTCACTGCCTGAGCGCCGGGGACTCGCCCAACTCTGGCAATGCTAAGAGCAGAGGGGGCTGTCTCAGTTTTTCTGTCACTGGAGGATCCTGCACCTGATTCAGTGCCACTAGAAGTGTGCTCTGTTTTATCACAGCAGAGCTCAGCCCAAGGGTGAGCCTCTCACTCAGGTCTGCAGGACCTGGTGGTAACATCTGGAGCGTAAAAAGTTTTACAGGCACCTCTGGGCTGCAGCTGAAACCTGGGTTCCCACAGGCTCAACACACCCACTGCCAATCACTTTACCCCCAGGCACTCTATAGGGAGTGTCTGTTTCCCCAGCAGGACTGTCCCTTTCTCTTATCTGTAGCTAAGCCTTCAATCAGTCATCAGGTATGTCCATGTGTGCTGTCATCTGACCTGTGTGGCTCCATACTGGAACCTTGGGGTGTTGGCTCCTGCTTGTCCTTGGGCCACCCAACTTATGTTTTCCTTGTCTTGACAGTCCCTGTAACTCCTTGCCTGTACAGAAGTGATAGATTTGGGGAGTTCTTTAGGCCCACCTCCCTGCCTAGGGCTCTTCTCCTAATGCTACCTTCTGGTGAATAGCAGGCATGCAGCAGTACAGGGGACTCTCCTAGAAATGGGTACTCAAACTTTTCAAGGCGGCCCTATTTCCTGTGTCCAAAACCTGGCTCTTATAGCAGCCAGCTGCTTTTTTGGTTCTCCTCTGTCCAGTACGCTGGGATGGGGTTCGTGACACAGCTTTTGTGTCTTAACATGGCCACTGTGTCCTCACACTATTGCTATTCTCCTCCATGCACTTAGGCCAACTGTGGCATGAGCTGTCAGGAGTTAGAGCCCTGCCAGGTGCTGGCCAGAGGAGGAGCAGTGCCTGGGCCAAATAGTTCCCACTGCCTGTGCGTCTGTGCACCCACGCCTGCCCCCTGCTGGCTGCCTGGGGACTCTTCCCTATGTCATCACCTGAGTTGGGCAGGGTTCCTACTGCCCAACAGTGTGCTTGGGGCCCTGTATTGTGTCAGTCATGCCTGTGGAAGGTTTTTAAATTTTATTTTATTGAGGAACAAATATGAATGAGACAGTTTCAAAGCTGATTAATAGGACAATTTCAGTAATCAATACATTTTACATTGTTATCTTCTTAGTGGTTATCCATAGTACAAACAGCAGACAGGATATCCTGTCCAAACACTATTAGTACACATCTTTTTTCTCATTAAATTAAGCAAAAGTAGCTGTATATCTATCCTATTTTGTATATACAAATACAAAATGTCCTTTCCTTTGTATCCCCCTTTTTTTAAAATTTTATACTGTCAGAGGTGTGTATTCTATTGGCATCTAAATACCATAGGTGCTTGAATTCAGAAAAACAATCCAATACTGTCCAGTAGTCCATAATAGTAGTGGATCATCCTCAGAAGTTATTAACATGAGCCTTTTACAGCTCAGCATATTAATATGGCTTTACTTTATATACTTTGTTTTTATACTTTTCTGTTGGATGGTTAAGACCAAGATAAAGCAAGACCTATATAAGAAGAAAAGTAACTTTTGCATCTGATAAGGTCAGTCAAGTCCCCTCAGGATTTATCCTGTAGCCCTGTACCGCACTTTGTACATCTTTTGTCACTGTCAGCCATGAGGATGAGTCATGGCCATTACTTGACCAATTTGCTCTCTGTGAAAGCCTGAGAGAATGTTTTCTCTCCATATGACTCTCCTTAGGTACACTATACATCATTGATCACATTCCCCTGTGGCTCAGTAATCTCCTTGATCAGAAAATTTGGGGCACAACTGAGCTACATAATGTTACAGTACAGGTTCTCTTATATCCTGAGTCTTCACTGACCTTGGAAGGCTAGGGCAGAAATGTTTGTTGACCTTGCAGGCCTTCCTTTTCTCCAATTTTTGATCTGCTAACTTAGGTTGTTAACCCTCCAGTAGAGAAGCTTATTATTAACTTGCAATATTTGCAGTTTGGTTTACCCTATCTGTCTAAATATCAAACATCTTAGGCATATCATGGAACAGGTATTTTTCATCAAGTATTGACATGTTGAACTTTAAGTCCTTACAGAATATGAAGGAAAAATAATTTTAAAGAAGTAGAAATAAGCATTTACATATTTTTACAAAGAAATTTAGAAATCTAACTATATACAGAATTATGACAGGACAGACCTGTGACTTTTTTTCTTTTTCTTGTGTCTTTTTTTTCATTTATTACCCTTTTTTTAAAGAAAAAAAGAAAAAAAAATGTTTACTTGAGAGACAGTATGCTAATAATTGGTATGTCATGACAAGAAGTATGTATTTAGAAGACCAGAATGACAGGTATTCCAATCATGATCCAACTATTACATATTGCTAACTTCAGTGCAGCTGCTTGGTTCACAGGTATCAGTATATATAGTCAGGGTGAGAATCTTACCAGTTAACTACAAGTTTCAAAAACTTGCTGATGTTTCTCAGGATCATTGCCTTATCCATCTCGTGTGTATAAATGTATAGCTTTGCCCCTGTCATGTTTCCCAGCTTTTCTCCTTGCCCATTCCTCATTGTATAATCCTCAAATTCTCGCTTTCCTTTTATTTGTGTTGTACCTTTCTAAATGTATTTACTCTTTTGAGTTCTTATGCTAGGGAGACAGTATGATATTTGCACATGGTTTTTTTCAAGTGGCATCCACTTAAATATGAAGACTTTGTGTTTATCAGTCTTTACAGCTGAGTAATACTCCACTGTCGAAAAATACCACATCTTTCTCAACCATTCCTCAGGTGATGGGCATCTTGGTTGTTTCCAAGATTTGGCTATCACAAATTGTGCTGCTATAAACATAGGTACACATATTTCACTATGATATGATGCTGTCAGTTCCTCTGGGAAAATTCCCAGTAGGGGAATAGCAGTTTTGAATGGGATTTCCAGTCCTAGTTTTGTAAGGAGTCTCCACACTGATTTCCATAATGGTTGCACCAGTCTACACTCCCACCAATAGTGGAGGAGGGTTCCCTTTTCCATACAGCCTCTCCAACATTTGTTGTTGGTTGATTTGTTTATGATAGCCATTCTTCCTGGGCTGAGATGGTAACTCAGTGTTGTTTTAATTTGCATTTCACAGATGGCTAGTGATGAGGAGCATTTTTTCATATATTTATTCTCTTCTTTAATATCTTGGATGCACATTTCTGGATTAGGTCTTTAAATTTAGGGGCCTTAATGTTCTTTAGTTCTTTATAAATTCTAGAGAGCAGACCTTTGTCTGAGTGCTTATTAGTTAAGTTTTTTTGAAATTTGTGAATTGTCTTTTCACTTTGTTGGTAATTTCTTCTGACTTGCAAAAACTTCTCAATAAGAGCAGGTCCCAGTTGTTAATTCTTTCAAGTATTTCCCATGCGATTTGATTTTTGTTCATGAACTCTTTGCCTATCCCTATGTCTTCAAGAGTTCCTCCTACTTTCTCTTCTAAGAGATTTAGTGTTTCTGTTTTAATGTTTAGATCTTTAATCCATTTTGGCTTTAGCTTAGTGCATGGTGATAGATCTGAGTCAAGATTTAGTCTTCGGCATGTAGAGAGCCAATGTTTCCAGAACCATTTGTTAAAGAGACTATCTTTCTTCCAGTAAGTGTGTTTGGTCCCTTTGTTGAATATCAGGTGGCTGAGTGTGTTCGTAGAGGCCTCTGCATCTTCTAATCTATTCAATTGATGCTCAGGTCTATTTTGTTGCCAATACCATGTTGATTTTATCACAGTAGCTTTGTAGTATAATTTCAAGTCAGGAATTGTAATGCCTCCTGCCTTGTCTTTGTTGGCCAAGATTGCCTTTGCTATTCTAGGTCTTTCCTGGTTCCAAATAAATTTTAGGAACGATTTCTCTAGGTCTGGGAGGTCTATTGGTGGTAGTTTGGTAGGGATTGCATTAAATCTGTACAACAATTTTGGGAGTATGGCCATCTT